AATTGAAGTCATCAAATTAAAGCACAGGATGCACACAGAGCTGTAGAACTTAACATTTCCTACCACTCTTTTAAGCTAGACCATGCTGTGCCATGCATGATTTACACTCATAACATTTCCTACCACTCTGTTAAGCTAGACTGTGCTGTGCCATGCCATGCATGATTTACACACAACAGTGTCATCAGCTGTAAATGGAGCTTCATTATTGTATAGCTGATAAGGTCTGTACCCCAAAATTTTTTTAGAAAACCCACACCTGACTTTACTGTAATATGCAACATATTCTGTAGTCACCATGCTAAAGATCTAAGATCTGATCTTGTTTAAAACCAAAATATTTCAGAAGGATAGTGGACTTTTTTCCCTATGAATAGTCTATTGCAGAGGGACTAGCAGTATTACCTATGTACTTCCGTAATCTGCTTTGTATTTCTTTCCTACAGGTCAAAGAACACAGGTACAGAGGCGACTACAAAACATAGAAGTTTCACTCAGAAAAGCTAAATTATAAAATGCTGTAGATTACTTCTGATTTATGTGAGGGGCAGGGTAATCATGACTCGTAATATAATCCAAAATGATATGTGGGGTGGTGAGAGAGCGGGGGGGGAGTAGACTGTTGCTCGGCACTATGGTCACACTAGGAAGAGCTGATTTTGGAAACTCCTGAATAAGACAGCTGGCACAGGAGATAGCATTACAAATAAATGTGCTGTTTTCACAGATACTTCTCTTTGGTTGCACAAGCAGGTGAGGGCTTTTGGATGTGCCAACTCATCCTGTCAGCTACTTGTTGCCGAATGAGGGGGCTAATAATCACCTCCAGAACAGCTGCACAAAAAGAGAGCAATCTGATAGCTTGAATTTTTTCTGTTTTGTGGTGCCCTAACAGCATAGTACTGCTCTCTAGTAGACACTGCCTTCATCCATAGTAACATTTAACAATTAAATCTAGGTCAAGAGTTGAAACCATGAAGAACTAATTGTCTACATAACTGTGACATTTCTGGCACTGTGCAGATAAACAAAGACAGAAAAACAGACCTTTTGAAAGACTTGAGGAAATTCTTCCTAGGCATTTCATTGCTCTGTGAAAAGAATGGGGGGAGAAATGTAATTTTTGAATTTGCAGAAATCTCCTCCCTAGAATTCCAAGTGTCTCTCTTGTCAAATTATGCAACACCTAAAATCTTTGCATATTTTAAAAATAAGAAATAATCTGCTTTGTAAGTCTTTCTGGCTACATGCACTGGCACTATGTTTTAGAGCACAGCTCTACAACCTTATCGGGCAATCGAGAGTGTTTTCTGGAGCAGCAGGTAAAAAAAAGGAGTTACAGCCCCTTTACCTTCCTGGCCAATATATTCTAAGTTCAATGCCATGGATCAATATTACAGTTGAGTTATACCACCTTCTGCATCAAGCTCATATGTCTGAGATGCTGAAAATATTAAAAGGAGAGGGAGGCAATTAATGCAGAAAAAAGCCCCAAATCTTAAACCATTCCACTTTCTATCACTTTGCTAAAATAAGCTTTTTGGCAGCTGCTAATATTCTGAGCTGGCTGGCAGCCTAAAGTGAGTTTGTGGGAATCAGGTAGCACAAATCCTCAGAGAGGATGCAAAGCCTCCTGTGAGGTTATTTAACATTTTCCTGATGTCCCAGGTGTCTGCAATGGGCCAGAGAAGATGCAATCCTTGCCCCTGGAACATAAAACCAGTGCAGCAGTGTATACAATGCAAAATCCGTGTGTCATACAGAATATGACTGCCAGGAGCAGGATTCTCCGTATCATCACACAGCGCTGCCACTGTTTCCAAGTGCATAGCCCCCTACAAAATCCAACCCATGCAGAGATCATTCAAGGGTTGGGAGCGGATGAGTCACAGGCATCTGGGAGGTGACATTGTGTGGGTTCTGATTTTAATTCTCATTGTTTTTTCAGCATACAAAATATACACAACTTCAACTAATTTTATTGAACACTGCTATAACAAACCCTCTTGTTGACTGCTCTCTGCAGAGGGCTTTAGAATAAAAGTTATAGATATTTAATTGTTTCACAGCTGAAAGAGTGCAACTGAGACTGATCTTGACTAAAGTGTAATTGTTTTCTGAATATAACTTTGCTGTGACTGCTGACTTCTCAAAATACACGCACCTCTAAGAGCTGTTGTTACATTTCTAGTGGCAATAGCATGTATTTGTGGTACTGAGTAGTGATGGGTTCCCTCTCCAAGGTTCTAGTTCTCTCTGCAGTACCCAAAGGTTTAGACCAGTTACCTAGTTATAGAGCCTCACGCTCTATATAGCATATATAGCATGCTATCTGAGATCAAAACAAATGCCAAGGTAGCCATTTGAGCACACAGAAAATATCTAAAAATAGGTTTACACTGCTAAACTTATATGATTCATAGGTGGGTACACCTACCATCAACAACTCTGGCTTTATTTTCTGTAACAACTCCCACAGAATTAAATACAGATCTAGGAGTCTGCCAAGCATGAGCATCATAACTAATTATTGCAAGGTAAGCTAGGATGGAAATCTACGTCATGCCTACCATCACCACTAAATGCAGGATGGCTCATCCTTTGCTAAGAGAAGAACAAAGAGCCTCATGCTTACCACAAGGTGAGATAATGCCGAGAGCAAAACACTGCGGTGGGGCTAACACAAGGGCCAGACCCTCACTGACTCTACTTATCTGAGCAACAATAACCTACACCAAGCGTCCCATTTTAATAAAATATGGGCCACGAGATCTAGTCCCAGATAGAACACCAAGCGTCTCATTTTAATAAAATATGGGCCACGAGATCTAGTCCCAGATAGCTTTCCAAATTCTTTTCAGAAAGGGCAGGATTGGCCTTTGAGAGCATTTAATAGCATAAGCCAGTTGTACCTCCTGCGTAGCGAATTTCCACGTTTTTGGTGCAGTATACAGGGAAGAGGAATACCACTGTCATATCAAATACACACCTTGCTTCTTACCCATTAATTACCAGGAGCAGTTCTAAACTCATTTTGTGCAGAAAGCAGTTTATATTTATGGGCAATTAACTTGTTCTTGATTTTATTAAATGTGGAAATATGACAAAACAGCCTACACCACTACTTCTCAGATATCTTTGTAAAGTGCTTTAAACATTTACAGCACCATAAATGCTAAATGTTAAATATCATGATGCCAGGTTAAGTGCTATTTGCCCAGTAGTGAAAATGGCAGCATTGTAACATTCTCAGTGTACTGAAACCAATCACTGAAATATTCCCATTTGTTTCCACATAGCACAACTAAATGTGACTGACAACACACAGACGCATCTAGCACAGTATCTAGAGAATAAAGACAACTTTTTCTAAGTACTTCTGACTTCAAATTTCCGTACTCTGGAAAGTTTTCTTCACTGTAAAGTACTATTCAAAATTATATGCTATGTTAGTGGTGCCAGGTAAGCCCCTATTATTGCTGTGTGATTCAAATGAGAAACAGTGAGCTTCGCTTAGTACTCCATTGGAATACTGCTTACTCTGCTTCAGATTAATTTGCATTTAGGTGCAGGAATTTTACAAATGTGATACGACAGCTCAAAATATTACTTTTCCCGTACGGACAAATGTCGGGAAATTTATCCATCTGCATTCAGAACAGCACCCACTGCACTCTTGCCTCCAATAAGACCATGTCTGATGTCATTCAGACAAACATATGCATTCATTTCTTTCCCAGGGTGAAAGAAGAAATATTTGCAAGTAAGTGACAGCGTATTTATCACTCTGCTAGTGCTAGTTTCATCCTCATATCCTATTATTTTTCTCAAACTGTTCAGGTACGCCAATTTGAAACCCCGCTCAATAAGCATCTACGTTCCACACCACTTAATCCATCCAAATATTACTGGGGTCTTATTGAGGAATTTCCACAAGAATTAAATAAATGGAGGAAGTGCCATGTTATTACTTATTTATTTAGCATCCTAAAGAACACAGCTGTCCTGTACCTCGATCAATTATAATTCCTTAATGAAAATGCAGGTCACAAACAGGATGTCCAGTCAGACACAACTGCCTTCTAAACTAATCTTCTTTACAGATGAGTAAATACACTAAACCACCTGTTAAACAAATACCATCATGTTTACTTTCCACAATGCAAGAAAGCCAAAAGCTGAGAATCATTCCCAGGCACAAATAAAGCACAGTAATTACTTCTTTTTAAACAATTGTAAGAGCAATAATACAGTGTTTTGCATCTTTGACTACCTGTATTAAGCAATTAATGGTGCACAATAAGCTGAATGTCAAATAAATACTGCAGAATATTTGCTGCTGTTTATGCCTGTGCAATGAAATTCTGATTCTCTGCATATGTCCCATTCCATCAGGTCATATCAAATCATATTTTGTCAGTGTTTATTAGTTCAGCCTAAGTCCAGTCGCATGACACACACTTCAGTGCACTTAGCATTAAAAAGCAGTTTCTGTAATTCCAGGTATTTTTAAATGTGAATAGATACATCCAATTACCCAGTGACTTGCATGTCAAGTTTATTGCATTTCAAGCATGTTTTTACTTTAGGTGTTGAGCAGTCATTTAAAATACTGTTCCCCTTTACTTTTAAATTGCAGGCCACAAACTACTGAAGAGTTGATTTCCTCTCTGTGTAAAAGAAGTGACTTGCGCTAATGCTAATTCAAATTATGGAGGCATACTATTAAAGTATTAGACAGCCTTAAGTTTCCAACAAGACTAAGAAGTACTGCTGTGCCACTTACAGACTATTTTGTGAAAAGTAAAAGCTTAGCAAAGGCACATAGGCAAAATTTCCTACTACCCTGCTATGGTTAACTCTCATTTCAGTTGTACACATGGGACAACAAAAAATTAAATATGTACATTATGTTCTGTAAGCCTAGTTACATCCAGAAAAACAGGAAGTGAGGGCAAAGAAGGGGATAAGGAGAAAAAAAAAAAAGTTAACTGGTTTACCTGATACTGTACAACACTTTCCCAGTTTTGGAAATCCTCAGCAACTTGTTGTCTGTTGTGACATCATGGAAGTTTGCTCCCTTCTCATTGGCAAAGAATAAATCTGGCTTCCAAATAGAGTCCAACATGGAGGGATCCAAATCCAGGGAATCATCAGGATACTCGCTGTAAGCCAGACGTGAGTCGTTCCACTGCTGTCTCAAAAAAATGTTCACTCTGTAGTCCTACAGAAATGCCATGTAAAAAGGTTACTAAGCCACTTACCAAAACTGGAAGCCCACTTTAGCTTTCTTTATGCTCTTCGACTTACTACAGTACCAGCGTTACAGCAAAGATTTATTTTATCCTTTGAACGTAAGAGTTGTTATTTGAAAATAAAGCAGTCTAAATGTTGTATTGAACCAAACAAACACAACTGGTGCATTTTCCAAATCAAAATTGTGTCAGTGTTGAAAAAAAAGTTAACTGCAACCTCCAATATTAAATATAACCCTCTTTCAAATGCTATGGATTAAATCAGAGGTACTTAGAAAGTCAAAAAGCATTGCAGCTAGATATATACATTTTCAACAAAGATTCTATAAAATTACTAATTTAAATAAATTGCTTCCAGTACGTAAATCAATTATTTCTAATGTACTCATGAATAGTTGCTAATTCCAGTGAAGTCAGATTTGTATAGAAGAAATTAAATCAACACATCTTATTTACTGTTTGTATCCTTTTTCTATCTATGGTATGCTTTTCTCTGTATGTTCCTTCATTCACTCCTCCCTCTCTGCATCCCATTAAAATTGTTCTCATTGCATTCTTCTGCTCAGTGGTCTGCTAGTCACAACTGGGAAAGGCAGAAATTATTTAGAGGTTCATTTAGAACCAACATTAATGCTGTGTCAAGAACCGGCTATTAAAGGGGAGTGTGAAAAGAGCTTTTAGGGGCTAAAGTCTCTGGAGGGAATGGGAAGATGCTAATTCTTATTCTCCTTACCCTGAATTTCCAAGGTCAGCAAATAAGAGCTTCATCTCCCCCAGCTTTCCCTGCTATTATAGCATATTTACCTGAAATTACTACATTTAACTTGCTTGTAAACACTGTCTTAGAAATATATCTACTCTTCTTTTAAAAGGAAGATATTTAATAATATTTATATAAATTCTATTATCTGAATGAATATGTTAGCAAATAATTCTCCCAACTGTACAAACCCTTCACATTTAGGATTTGCTTCATGGTAGCAACAGCAATACTTTAAAATGGCAGCACTGCCCCTTTGACTTGGAAAATATATTAGTTGACCTGGGTTTAGTCAGACCACTGAACTGCATAGTCTAAAGCATTTATCTTTACTTAATGTAAATAAATATGCTCACTCTGATTAGAGCTGCAGAAAGCAGCTTGCCCAATATGCAGACTCTGTGAATGAGCCCCTCCAAGCCTCAGTGTTTCCCACCCTTCATTCAGCAGGTTGGTGACAAGGTGTGCTGCTGCCCTGACAGAATATTTCTGACATCCAAACTGATACAGTTTTTGAACCCTATGGGATGATGCTTTACAATCTTACTAGGAACGTGATTTTTCTTGCTTTCTTTTTCATTTTCATTTTGCTGTTGGGTAGAAGCGAGTCAAAACAGGAATGTCTACTAATCAGAGCAAGATAGACCTGAAAGAGGTCTCAAGAATAACACCTTTATTAAAGATACTTACAAAAGCCTGTATTTTTTTTTCACAAACCACTGTGCTTTTTATGATGGTGGTGTTTCATACAGTTAAAGATCAAATAGCTACTCGCAGTTCTGATGAAATGTCATCACATCTTGTGAGGATACACTAACCCTAAGCATACTTTCCCTTCTTTCTTGGTTTATACGTTTATATGGGACAGGTTTAGGTATAAAAGCAGTAAAGCACTTGATTTTCATTCTGCAGAAAAGGAGGCAAGACCTTTCATCAGCAACTGCTGATGACATTGCTACAACTAGTTGTGCAACTGCCTTTAATTTTTCTTTGAAATAAGATATACAATAAGATATACAATGAAATCAATAGAAAGCAGAGGATTTCTCCCCCCATGACATAGCAATTGTAAATCAGTCAAATCAGTACATTTTTTAGAAACATCTAAAAATAAATGTGCTTTCATAAACTTCAGTAGTTGGTGATTTAGATAACAAACAACAGTTTGAAAAATCCTTATTCATAGAAGAGCTTGCATATGGTGATATATATTATACCAAAAGCATAAATAATACCAAAAGGATTACACCATCTTTGTCAATATGTACCTCCATAAATATAGCAGAGCCATCACACTGATACACTTAGAAATGCTTTCTCTCTGCAGGCTTTGTTGTTAGAAGCAAAACAGCACTGAAACCTTTGTTTATGTCTGATAGGCTTTGCATATATATATATAGATATTTTAATAAGAAATTAAAATGGAAATATAATATAACATGCACCTCACAAAACCATCATTACTTTTTTTCTCCTATGCTTGCAGTATAAGCAGCTGAGAGGGATGTATGTTTACACAGTCAGGCCTAATCATGTGCAGAATTTTGAATTTACTTTTCCTGTGCTAACATTGTAACTATGTTCTGAAGAAAAATTCTCCTGAGAATGGTATCACAACATGGAGCTCAGGCAGACTACAGTATGTATCTTGCAAGTTCCTGAGGGTAGAAGTGGGTGGACTGTAGTAAAGCACTCCTACACG